GAACCTTTCTAAGAGTGTGGGATTTGTTTTCTTTGGCCTCCTTTCTGCTTGTTTAATTCTTTAGAATTCCTAATTTGTCATTTTTGTCTTTTGCTTACCACCAAACCTCCAAGACATCTCTTGCTGTCGATCCAGCTTTCTCTGTCCCAGAAATTGTGCCTTCCCAAAATACCACCTCTGGCTCCCTATGTTCCTCAAGTTCCTTCCTTTTAAAGTCCTCTTAGAAAGTGTTCCAATCTGCCAGTTCTCATATTTGCTTTAAGACATTTTCACTCTCAGGTGGTGCATTTTCTTCAAGATTAAGTCATGTTTGGCTATTACTGTGTCACTTCTGTGACGGTTCTGTAAACTACTTCTATAGTTCCTTGTGATGTGAAAATTACATCTAACTGATCAAATGTAAGCACCAGAGCCACTTTGTTGGCATAGGGTGTTTATGACTCCATTTATGTATAAAGTATGTAGGATTCTGTATCTTAATTATTATTTAAATTTTCCTTTCCTTTTATAATAGTTAAATGGAAGTGTTGAGAGATTCTAATTTATGTGGCCACCATTTTATTAGGGAAACTGACCTTATAACCTAAGGAAAAAGTGAAATAAAATAAATTAGAAAATTAATAATGAAGCAAATAAAGGAGAGATAAGCTGTTGATACAAGTAGAAATTAATGAGTTATAGAAGTTTTTAAAAACTAAAAAATTGAAACTTAATTCAAGATCTATTTGAGAGAAGTATTAATATTAATAAAACGTAATGTAATTTATTTCTTAAAAAATAGAAACACAGCAGAGAGGAAAGACAAGAATAATTTGCAATTCTGTTCTAAAATTTGAAAACATAATTATTGTGTATCATCGAGTCGGCACCAACACATAGCTGGTCCTCTAGCAGATTTTCAGAAGCAGTTAATTTTACAGGAGGAGCTTGCTCATTCTTCTTCCATGGTGCAGCTGGTGGATTAGAAGTGCATGCCTTTGGGACTGCAGTACAGCTTCTTACCACTAGGCCACCAGAGCTTCCTAACAACAATGTTGTTGTTGTTGTTATGTGCCGTCGAGTCGTTTGAGACTCATAGTGACCCTATGTACAACAGCCCTAAACCCTGCTCTATCCTGTGCCAATCACATTGCCTCTGACACATCCATCCCAATTATCCCAGTCACTGAATCAATCCACCTCATAGAGGGTCTTCCCCTCCTGCGCTGTCCCTCTACTCTACCCAGCATGATGTCCCTCTCTAAAGACCCGTCTCTCCTTACAACATGTCCAAAGTATGTCAGACGAAGCCCCAGAATCCTTGCCTCCAAAGAGCAGCCTGGTTTAATCCTCTCTACGATGAATCTGTTTGTTTTCTTGGCAGTCCATGGTGCATTCAATACTCTTCTCCAGCACCACAGCTCAATAACAATTCTAATATTCGAAAGTATGACAGAATTACAAATTTCTTAAATGAACAGTAATTATTATAATTGATCCAATATGTAAAAAATCAATTTATCAAAAGATCTCTTAAAAATTAAAAATCTGTTCCAGAAGATAACTGAGATAGAATATCTTGTTTGGGTAGAAGAATGTTGTTGTTATGTGCTGTTGAGTTGCCTATGACTCATAGCAACACCATGTACAACAGCTCTGAAACCTACCCTGTCATCTTCATAAAATCAATTTTGAATATCTGTGTAAAATGGCCAAAAATAGTAGAGAAGCTTGAGTGTAAAAGTAACAATACTGCTTACGTTTTTTAAGTACTGATAGGGGAGTTCACCACTATCTAAATAGACAATGCGTTATTAGTGGGCATTATCAAATGCTTACAGACAAGTGAAAACAAATGTGTTATTTTACCAAATCTTGAAGATTTTCATGTTTCCTTACAGATAGTTGAGAGAACATGTGCCACTCTACCAGATCTTATTGATTTTCCTTGTCAACCAGTTCTTTCTTCTGGAGTAACTGACACTGCTTCATCAGAAACTGAGAGTAAGCATAATGATTATAGACATAAATGTAGATGATTCTGTGAGAGAAATGTAGTGAATGTTAAATCGTATACTTTTATACTTAATACCACACCACATGTAATTAGCCAACAATATTGTTTTATTTAAACACACACAGGCCTTATAAGAGGAGGGGGTGGGCAGGGAGAAAAGTGAAACAATGAACGGAAACCCTAAGTCTCTGTAAACTTTCATTAAAATTATTTTTTTTTTTAAAAAAAAAGAAAAGTTGGTATAGTCTGCACCCCTAAGTCGGTTTCCCTGGTGTCAATCAGGGCTGTGACTTGAGTAAAAGTATTGCATCCCACCCTAATACCCTTAGAACTGATTGACTGATTACATCAGATCACATCATAGAGCGGTACTCAGTTACTACCTAAATGCTAAGTTATATCAAACAACTGAAAATCCTTGGTCAACCCAATTGACACCTATGTTAGAGGAATGCAGTTCAATCCAATTCAAATGTAATACATTCAAGCACAGTCCAACTGAACACAATTCAAACACAGTTCCATTCTTTTATATATAGAAATGACTCCTTAGTATTTTCACAGCAGCAAATACTTTGCTGCTTCAAGAGATTATTGGGTGAAAATTACTCTTGTTGTTTTGAGCTTTCTTCTTTTAAATTTCGTAGTCCATATTTTGGGCCACTGTGGAGCTCTGGTGGCTTAATAAGGAGTTCTACTGCCAACGCAAAGGTATATGGTTTGAATCTCTTAGCTGCTCCACAGAAGAAAGATGGGCATTCTTCTTCCAGGTGATTTACTGCCTCTGAAAACCCACTGGAGGCTTAGCTACAAGCCAGCTCCAAATCAATGGAATGCAAAACAAAACCAAACATCTATAAGGAAGCGCTGGTGGCTCAATGGTAGCGACTTGTGCTGTCAGGTAAAGGCATGCAGTTCAAATCCTCTAGCTGCTCTGTGGGAGGAAGACAGACAGTGCTCTAGACAATCCCCTCCCTTGCAATTTAACTGTCTCTGAAAATTCCCTGTAGGATCAACTATGAGTTGGTTCCAACTCTTTGATACATAATGATAACCATCTATAACCTTTATATATTTATGAGTGTGGTTTATAATCTTTTTTTAGGAGAGAAAATTATTGAACAAATGAAACAAGTAAAGGAAGAAAGAAAATATCTAGAAACAGTTAGAGAAGAACTAATTAAAAAAGTAGATAAGCTCTTTGAACAAAGTACATCAAATAGCTATCAGGGTAAGTTTGAATAGATTATGTATCTTTTACCACAATAAAAGTAAACTTTAGTTTTATAGAATGTGTTTATCTAAAAAGGCAAACCCATGGTATCAAGCTAGAATGGGCACATAGCTGACCCTCAAGTGAATTTTCAGGAGGCTATAAATTGCACGGGAGGAAATTGCCCGTGTTTCTCTCTTGGTGACACTTGTGTATGGCAAACTGCTAGAAAGGCATAGTCTTTGGTTTAGCAGCACAACTCCCAACAAACCGTACCAGGAGAGCTCCCAATGTGTACATGAAGCAGTCAAAATGCCATAACTTGGATCAGGCACACCTTGGTGTTCAACATGTCATTCCGATGGCTAGTCCAGAGGGAGTTGCACTGCTAAACCACAGGCAGCATGTTTCTGACAATTCAGTTCCACAGGTGGCTCCCTAGGAGAATAATAAAAAATCTCCACCTGGGCACTGGCCTCTGACAACCCTCTGGAGTTCTGACTCTACAGCAATAAGAGTACTCTAAAAAGAACATCTGTAGTAGACATGTTTAGTTAGTGTAATAATTTGGTTTCTTGATTGCTGTCACCATAGGTGTGGATTGTGAATCCAAGTGAAATGACATCCTTGAGAACTTCAGTATTTCCTCCATTTATCTTGATGTTGCTTACTTGTCCAGTTGTGGGAATTTCATTTTTGTTTGTTAAAGTAATCCGTACTGAGCTCTGGTAGCCTAGTGGCAACAAACTACACTGCAATCATGAAGGCACGCAGTTTGAGGCCACCAGCTGCTCCATGGGAGAAGGGTGGGCAATCTCCATCCGTGCAATTAACTGCTTCTGAAAACCTTCCGGAGGGTCAGCTGTGGCCCGATTCTGACTCAGTGGTGCACAACAACAAAAACATTGATAAGTAATTCAATCAAATGCATAGACATTAGGATTTATAGCACATACTTTTTTTATTTTAAAAAAGGGCATATTTATTTATATTTGCAAATGAGTTTCAAAAACAAAAGGAAAACATATGTGTTTCTGCTTTATTTTTTCAAAATTCCAACAGCCCTCATGCTGTAAGAAGGTTCCTAAAGATTTATTAGAAAGAAAAGCAACACAGTTCACTCACAATTCACCAAGACATCACTGAGCTAACATGTTTAGACAGAACAAAAAGGACTAAGGTTCTCTTGTTGTCTTATAGTTTGATTTAATTTGATTTGCCTGAAATAACAGAAGTATTTCAAGCACCTTTCATTATGTAGCTTATGTCCTGCATTAAAGAATCTACTAAATTCTCAATCAAGGTTATTAGCAAGTTTTTTTCAAAATTTTAAAAAATTAAACCGCTGTTTCAAAACCATTAAGCAGTAAATGTATTTAAGAACCTAATTAGGACAGATGCCATAGCTTCATTAGAACACAACTGCATGTTTTGTTTTGGTTTATTTTTCTTAAATAAACCATTAGTGTTATCTATTTGGCTGTTAGTATTAGCAATTTATCTACAATATTTAACAAGGTAAATTGTTACAGCACATACTTTTATGATACACAATTCAATCCATGAAAGAATTGATACTTTTGGAATAGATATTGTTGTTGTGGATAGGAACCATCCAGGCAACTACAACTCATATAAAAACTCTGAAGAACATTATCTGAATCTTGCCCTCTCCTATCCTATCTTCATAATTTTCTGATATACTCTAGTCCATTGTTACAGTTACTGTGTCAGTCTACCATGTTTCGGTTCTTCCTTTATTCCTCAGACCCTCCATCTTTCCCAGTATGAGATCCTTTTATAAGGACTGGCCTTCCCTGACCACATGCCCAGAGTGTAAGAGGCAAAGTTTCATCATCCTTGCCTCAAAGGAGCTTCCTAGTGGCACTTCCTCCAAGATATATTAATTTGGTTTGGGGCAGTACTCTTTTCCAGTACCACAACTCAAAAGCATCAATTCTTCTTCTGTCACCTTTAGTCATTGTCCAACTCAGATGCATAGCAAGCAATTGAAAATATCATGGCTTGGATCCAGCACACCTTAAGTCTTTTAGCTGACATCTTGCTCTTTATCATTTTTGAGAGGTCTTTGACAATAGATATTTTCCAATTCCAAAGCATTTTTTCTTCTTCACTGATGTTATCATTGGTGTTCATTGAGGATTCAAGTAAAGTAAAATCGTTGACAACTTCAGTCTTTTCTCCATCTATCCTATTGTTTCCTATTGATCCACTGCTGAGAAGTTTTGCTTTCTTGATATTTAGGAGTAATTGATATTTAAAGCTATAGTCTTTGTCTTTTGCAGCAAATATTTCAAGCCCTCTTCATTTTCAGCAAGCAAGGTTATGCATATGCATAATGCAGGTGGTTGTTGAATCTACTTCCAATCCTGATTCCACATTTTTCTTCATGTAGGCTAGCTTGTCAGATTATTTGCTTAACACATAGATTGGATAGTGATCGAAAAAGGATACAACCCTAACAGACATCTGTCTTGATTTTAAAGGATGCAGTGCTCCTTTATTCTCTTTAGATAACCATTTCTTGATCTAGGTATAGGTTTCACATGAGCACAATTAAATTTCCTGAGATCAGTTTCCAATCTTCTCAATGTTAGATAATAAAGTTTAAATTAATATTATCTGTTTTTCCCCTATGGCTTAAGAAAGAAATTATATAACCAAAATGAACATTAAAAAATAATTGTTCAGGTTTTTGTTTTATACACTCAACACAAATGCTTAACATAGGCTTTTGAAATGAAAATTTGAGAGTTTGTTAACCCTTACATGTACTTTTGTGTCCATTCTTTCTATTAATTTACTAATGAATTATATGTCAATTCCCTACTGAATCATGCCACTCTTCCAGGAGTGAAGATACACCGATAGGCAGTCTTATCTCTACCTTAATATAATTTACTGTCGAATGGAAAAAATATAATGGTAATTATAAAGTTAAATGGTAATGCTACATCCTGAGAAATGCTATGATAAGGGAATTGTGAAGTGTGCAAAGAGCTGAAGTCAGAAAATCAAAAAGGAAAAATTTGCACAGCATTTCTCAAGCTGAAGAAACTGAAAAACAAATTCAAGCCTCAGGTCACAATACTTAAAGATGTTGTAGACAAAATCATGAATAATCCAGAAAGTATCAAAAGATGATGGAGGAAACGTCACTAAAAAGTTATGACTGATACCAGAACCATTTTGAGAATTAGCGTATGATCAAGAACCAATGATAATAAAGAAAGAAGTTCAACCTGGAAAAAGATCAAGATGTAAATCAAAACCACAATGAGATACCATCTCACTCCAGTAGTAGTGGCAAAGTTTAACAGAACAACAAGTAATGTTGGAGAGGATGTGGTGAGATAGGAATGCTTATACATTGTTGGTGGGATTGTAAAATGGTACAACTACTCTGGAAGGCAGTTTGGCATTTCCTCAGAAAGCTGAACATAGAAATTCCATATGCCCCAGCAGTACACCACTTGGAATATACCCTGAGAGAATGAGAACAGAGGCACAGAGACTTGCACACCAATGTTCATAGCAGCATT